CATAGAATTACTTTTGGGATATTGTGGTTTTCATATGTTGATTTATATGTAATATAATATTTCTATAAAATCAGAGATTGAGTTCCAAAAATAGATTTTTAATAATGCTATATTCTAATTTTTTGATTTCTACTAATCTTTTAGATTCTTTGTTTTATGAACATGTGTTTTTATTTAAACGTTTATATTTTTTAATAGTAGTTTCAAGATAAAATTATATCACTATTCCATTTGTTCATCCACATTAACTTATTTTGCTAGTGATTATGTCTTTTATGTAAAGTTTATTAGAGTAATTTTTTTGAGTGCACCGTGTTATGCACTGTCTCTACCACTCAGTCTCCCCCAGTTGTTCCATCTCTGTATTTTATACTGTATTTCCTGTGGTAGGTCATACTGAGTTTAGTATATCTCAAAAAAACTTTATGTAAAACTCAATTCAAGTGAAGGAAAGTCTCATAGAAAAATGTATAATTATTTTATTGTATAAAATTTAAAAATGTTGTGTAGGAAGCCACAAGTCCTTAACAGATGTAGTTGTCTCCTTGTTTCAAATTTATGCCAATCAGAGTTGATAGGATTTGATCACACTCTAGTAGATTTATGGAATAAATTACAATATTACATGACACACTTCAGATAGAAAACATCAATATAAGTTACATCTGATTTCTAGTTTAAGATAACAAGCCAGTAATATTTAAAATCAGATGTATTTCTATTTAGTTGTAGATGTTCTGTCAGATTTTCATAGGCCCACAAAGAAGTGGGTTTGAATTTAAAGAGATTTGACTGCAGAAAAGTTTAATACAAGATGCAAAACTCATTCTTGAGGTACTAGATTTTTTAAAATTAAGACTTGATTTGGTAAATAGGAATTTTTGTTTGCTTTTTAAACAAGTAGTTTACTACTTCATACACAGTGAAAATGGAATATAACAGAATAACAAAAGTGATAAGTAACCCCAGTGTCTTAGGATCAAGAAATTGAGAGTTATACTCTCAAATATGTCTGCTCTCATAGCAAAAACAGAACCATTTTATTAAAAGCTTCTGCTAAGGACTGGGCAGATAGCTCAGTAGAATAAGTGTTTGCCTGGCAAACATAAGATCCTGAGTTCAGTTCCCGGTACTACAAAAAAAAAAAAAAAAGCTTCAGCTGAGAGAGTTCTTAAGTTCATTCAGGAGGTCCAAATAGTGGAAACCATTATAGTTCCACTATAAAATGGAAAGTGTGTGGCCTCCAGAGAACTTAATCTGAAGTCATTACTAAATTGAGAATTGTAATTTGCAAAAGGAGGATAGACCTTTCAATTTCTTAGATTGAAATAATTTAATTTTTAAATATGGAGTCTAGGCAGATCACTCCTTTTTAAGATGATAGGTCTTCAAGTTTCTGGTATTGATATTGGAAAATCTTTTAAATTTTTTCAGAAAATATTTACATCATGGCTTAGATAATAAAACTTGGACTATGCAGAAGATACATGGAACCAGCAAGGTGCTTTTGTGATCACTTGAGTGTTAGCACATTAATATTTGCCATATATAGTTAAAAAAGTTTTTGTAAATTCTTAGAGATAACCATTCTCTTGAAATTGGTTTATATCCTTCCTCTCTATTTTTATACATGTTATTTATTTATTTTTCAGACAGAGTCTTGCTGTGTAGTTCAAGCCAGCTTTAAGTTTACTTTATAGCCCAGACTAGCCTTGAATTTACAGTGATCCTCCGGCTTCAGGTTCTGAGTCTGAGATTATGGGTGTGTACCACCATGCCCACCTATTCCTGTCTAGCTCATAATTTTCCTAATAATTAGCTTTTATGCAATTTTCTCCTCCTTTTTTCCTAGGATTTTTCCTGAACTTGTTACTTTCTACTGTAACAAGACATCTGACTTGCTACTATTATGTAATATTTCATAATATGACAACATCAACACTATAATTTGTATATCTGTTTCTCTTTTCATAAACATTGCTTTGTCAGAATACTTTGCACAGACTTCTTCCACAGGTATTCCTGAGGTTCTGCATGGCTCAGTATTTTGTGTGCACAGGACAAACTGACAACTATTGAGAACCGTGTTCAGGTTCTGGCTGTAGGGAGGATTGTTTATGCAGTTTGGTGCCATGATGCACACTTTCCTTGCTGTGCCTTGTATCTTTAGAATGCCTTGTATCTTTAGAAAGTAAGCCATTGATTTTATTCTAGGCTAAAAGACTGTAGACAATCCCCTACCCCTTCAAAACTGGCTTTTTGTCCTTCCCATCTCTGTATGAAAAGAAAATTGCTCTTTATTAAAAGATGTTGGAAAAGATTATCTAAAAATGTTACATATTTTTTATTTTTACATATTTGCTTTATCTTAATCTGTAGAAAGTTAGGGCCTATGCTTTTGGTTTATTTTATTGTATCAGTGTATGCCTGGCCAGTGTATAAATAAGACCTCATTTTGCTTAATGTGAGCGGTATGATTTTTTGTTCAGGTAGTTAGGTAACTCTGAGTTACTGACTAGTGGAAAAATGAGCACTCATTTTATGAATGTTTTGGAATTTTTAAAGAGATATTTTAAAAATGTAATATAAATTTTGTTTACTTTCAAATTTGTATAGTTTTTATTAGTTGAGCTTATTTAATGCACTTTTATTTTGAAGAAATTGTATGCTTGCTAGAAATCTTACCTAAAATTGTATTTAAACATATATACTTAAGATTTGGATTGGGCTGGGGAGATGGCTCAGTAGAATAAGCACTTGCCTGGAAAGCACAAGGGCCTGAGTTCAATCCCCGGTTCCGAAAAAAAAAAAAAAAAATTGGATTATAGAGCACTCTTGAAATATTAAAGAAAAACTCAGCTCATAAAATTCTTTGTGTGTCCAATACTTTAAGCTGCCTCACAGAATGCCAGATATTAGCTATTAATATTATTAGCCCTTCCACTGTTATTTTTTGAGATTAAAAATGGTTAAATGAATTGTTAGGTCTGCACTATTTGTTGTTACTAGTTTCAGAAAGCTGAAAAATGTTTATGCTCTGTGACAAGCAGATGCTAGTCTAACGGGGCGATATATTATGTATCAGAAATGATTTCTATTGTAGTGTTTTTATTTTAAAGGGAATAAAAAGAAATTGGAAAAATAAATGATACAGAATTTCAAGAAACATAGTGATAGGAATTCAACAGTGGTTGTTTCGTTGCATGTTGTTGTCTTCAAAGTAGTTGTTCAGATTACTAGGTATAAGAATATAAAGTTGGTCAATAAAAATATTAACTGTTCCTTTTTGATTTAATGAGAGAAGATTAGCTTACATTAAAAGTGGAATTTGATGTGATATTTGTTTCCTGTGGGCTTTTTTTTTTTTTTTTTTAATAATAGACATACGTTTACACTGTCAGATTTTTTCTTTATTTTTATACTTTTTTTCTGTATTTACTGGAATTATGATCTCACACTCATTTATTTTTTCATTTTTTAAATTTATTGAGAAACATAACAATGAGAGTTTCACAACCAATTAATAGCACATTTTCAGTAATTAATACATTGCATATTGTTGTCTTAGTGGTTATTCATTGTACAAGATGCAGACCTGATATCCTGTCTCAAAGACTATTAGAACAAACCTCTCTATCCATTGAATTAAGAGAATGGAGCTGTATATCTATCCTATTTTGTATCTCACACTCATTTAAAAGTTAGTAAAATATTTTTAAAAAATGAACCTTATTTTAAATTAAATCTGATAAATGTTTGAGTGTGTTTAGGTTTTAAAGTTTCTCCGATTTCTTGAGATCAGCAGTGAATACAGTGTTGCAAGTTAGTCAGTGAATGAGGTACTGGGAGCTTTGATACTGGTGTCACTGAATTATAGTGTATTTAGGTTGCCATATGGTTTGCTATGTACAACAGTTCCTGCGTACTTTGCTTGCCTATGAGAGAGGTATATTGCTAGCCTTTGTGTTTCTTTTCCTTTTTACTTAATTTATTCTGTCAGCAACTTTAAACTTGACTGCAGTTGCTGACTCTGAACCCTTAACTACTTCTGGATCTGAATTGTACATTTTGATTGACAAATTTACCTTTATGTATGGTCAAGTAATTCTATATTTGGAAAAATGTTCCTATTGTATATTTTATTCCACTGAACCTAGCAAAGTTAAATGTAGTTTGGATGCATAGGGAAGAATTAATGATTGGAAGATAGAAAGTTGGTAAATTATTCATTCTGGCCCCAAGGAAGCTGAAAAGCTGAGTGAAAGACTAATAAATCATTTGTGGTACTGCTGGTTGTCACTTCCAATTATTTTGGACGGTTTTGTGATAAACTGCAGCACCTGCTAGATATCCACACATCCTCCCTTGATGCTGGTGCAGCTTGTTTAGTCGATTATCAAAGGCAAGTTTGTGTAAAGTTTTATTTAGGTTTGAAAATAAATTACTTTTTTAAAGTAAATTTTTCTTTCTCATTGTTTTGAGTGCCCTGAAAGGATTTTCTTGACATGACAGGGAATCTGGAATATACATATTACTTTAACCAGGAGAGACTTTACCTTTGTGTTAAATTAAATACTTGGTGAATTAAGCATTTTTTAATCATTCTCAGACTAATTGAAAAGTACTTCAGCTGAGATGATTATGATGCTAAAGATCAAATCATCTTTTGTTAGTATCATTTAGTGGAGAACCACCACTGCTGCTGCTTGACCAACTCTCTTCATTTCTGGCTGAGGGCTGGAACTACTACCCTTGAAAGATTCTTCTTTATATTTGTTCTAATTTACCTGCTGGGAGTATTACAGAGACAGAAAAGAATTCTCACGTGCAGCCAATTCAGGTATAGTTCTACTGGTCATGAAACCGGGCTCCTCTAAAACTTCTTGAGGAATAAATTATGAACACCATATAATGTGCATGCTTTATGCTTGCCACTAGTTAATTGTTTCTTGTTTGTGTTCAAGCCCAATTCATGAGGTTTGTTTCTACATATTTGACAGGACTTGTTTTCACCAAGATTTTCAACGTTAACCTAAACATATGGGGTAGTTGAGAGTACTCAAGACCATACAAAGAAATAATCTTGGTAAGTGAGCTTATATTCATTCATTGAGATACATTTTGGCTCATGACTTGCTTTTCATCAAATATTTATTAAAGCTCATGTATGCCAGCCCTCTGGGAACTACAACTAATACTGTTACTTGTAACAACTTTTTCAACTTAGTATGTGCCTTGTACTAGGTTTAACCATTTCACAAGTATTTACTCGTTTTAGTACAACAGATCAGCACTGCTACTTGTATTGTTATGCTTATTTCATAAAGGAGCTTTTGGAATGATTGACAACAGTGTTTAGAGTTTTTCTTTATACCGTAGTCTATAAATGGAAAAAAAATGTTTATAGTTTAAATTAAATAGATTTAGTAATTGTAATCTAAGTAGTAATAGCTATAATTTATTGAACACTTAATTTGGGGTTTGCTTTTATACATGTTGATTCATTTTTAACCTCTGAACAATAATGACTGTTATCTTATTATGGTGAGGAAATGTTAACCTAAAGAGGTTCCTGGGGTTATGCAGCTTGTTGATACAAAAGCTGGGATTTGAATCAAGATCTCCCTGTCTCCCTCCTCCACTAGGAGTTTAAACTCTAGTCCCAGTGGTACTTGCTAAACAATAGAAAGTGGGAAGGAAAGTAATTTAAGAACCAGGGGTACCTAGAGAGCTTTGCGGAAAAGTGGGCACAGAATATTGAATAAAAATTTTTAAAAATTATTTATTTTTTGAGTTAGCTTAAATCATAGATTTTTATATGAAATGTTCATTTTTTAAAATCTTGGCAATTTACTCAGGGTATAGTTTGTCCATTGGAGGTATCTTGTAGATGTTAGTTTGAAGCTTTTGCATCTATTTGCCTTCTTTTAAACAAATTATCATTCTTTTTTTTTTTTTTTTTTTTTGGTGGAACCAGGGATTGAACTCAGACCCTTGCACTTGGCAGGGAAGTGCTTATTCTACTGAGCTATCTCCCCGGCCCCTAAACAAACCATCACACTAGATGAATCATTTGTTATTTTCATAATCATAATAAACTCCAAAGACACTTAAAAAGAGATTTCCGAATTTCAGGCTGCCACTTAGATTTCATGATACCAGTAATTCAACTATAGTCTGTATAGCATATAGCATTAAGTTCAAACTAGAATTCTGAGAATGCAAATATTAGATTATACACATTTTTATTGATGCTCCCCTCAATGTTTTGCCATTGATGCCAAATGCTTATGTTTTTTTCCTACACATAACATTTCTTTACCTATGTTCTGCATCATGTGGGAAATTTAAGGTATATATGGTTTTTTTAATTGAAATGTTTTGTCAGATTACAGATAGAATTAGTCATGTAGAATATTGTGACTTTTAATTTAGAGTCTAACACAAAAATAAAAGTTTTAGTGAATGAGGAACTGTTTGAAATAAAGTCAGTGGATGTTCATAGATGTATTAAATTAGATACAAATAAAGTATCCCTGGGAGAGAACTTTATTTTTTATTTTTTTACTTTTTTTCAAATCAAATCGGTAGGATAGTTTCAATAATTAACACACTGCATACATTCTTCTTAGTGATTAATTGCTATACTAGATGCGGACTTGATACCCTATTTACAAACACCATTAGAACAAATCATTCTATTCATTATGAGAATGTAACTATATATCTATCCTAACCACTTTAAATACACAGATACAAAATGGACATTCATCTGTATCCCCCTTTTTTTGTTAAGTTCCATATTTGAATATTATAGATGTGTATACTCAGCAAAATATTCTAAAAGAGTCCAGTAGCCCATAATAGTATTGGGACTTGCGCTTCACTGGCAAAGTCAGAAATTGTTGACCTGAGTCCCCCACAGCTCAACATAACAGCATGGCTTTACTTCTTATGTTTCGTTTTTATACTTTTCTGCTGGATGGTTAAGACCAAGGTAAAGCAGGAACTATGCAACAAGAGTTGTAGCTTTTGGGCCTGATAAGGTCAGTGAAATCCCCTCAGGATTTATCCTGAGATCCTGTACCTCAGATTGTAGAACCTTTGTCAGTGTCAGCCATGTGGATGAGTCACGGCCATTGCTTGGCCAATGTGCTCTCTGTGAAAGCCTGAGAGAATGTTTTCTGGGAGAGAACTTCAGTATCATTAAGAATACTGAATTGTTAGAGGTTTTTGTTCCATGAACCTAGATGAATGACCTCAACTGTTAATGTCATTACTTTGGAATTATTCTTCATGTAGTTTCAAATCCTACTTTATAGTTAAAGTCTTTCCTTCCAAATCAATGGCTTTTTCACAAACAGGGCTTAATACATTATGAATTTTTTAATGCATCCTTTAGATCCTTTATATATTATTTAATATATAAATTCCTTGTTGCCTACTTAACTTTTCTGTCATACATTAGAGGTTTTTGACCTGTATAGTTTCATGTAATAATATTTAATTGGTCAAAGTATAGCTTTGAAAATTCTGCAATTCTTTATTGTTTCTTGTTTATTATAAGGACATTGTATAGTTATTGTAAGAAATATTAAAAATACAAAATCACAGGATTTCACCATACAGTATGAACCAGCAGATAGTTTTTTTTTTAAAACAAAAAAACTTGGGTTATCATTTTCTGTTTGTGTTCTTTAATAATAGTTATAGTTTAGTGAATTTGCTTTTAAATGACAATATTTAGTAGTGCTGAATTAGAGGTCCTTCTCAAAGCTTCTCATCTAATACACGGAAGTAATTTCTGCCTTTTCCTTACTTCCATGTAATTATACCTCCACTATGATAGTTTATTTCCATTTGTGTGCATCTTTCTCAGTTTCTTGAGGATAAACTGTGATTATCATTTTGTAACATCCATTAACTTTTCAGTGAATAAATGAAACTAAATCTTAAGTTCAGTTTGTCTTTTGTACCTGCTTCTTGAAATAGCAAGATGGCAACAAATACAAAATTTTTATAATTTTAGTGAGTTATACAGATAGGGCTTTTGTGGAGCTTATGCAAGCAAATTACTACAGTTTATGGATCTAATATTTTCCTACATCTAAAGATGTACCTGGTCCTCTACCTTGGTGGAAAGTGTAACCAAGATTTACTGTATACAGATTTGTCTAACAAATCTAACTTGAAGGGTGAGTTCTGCTAAATTATTGCCTCTATATTATATTAAAACTTTGTAAAGGAAATAGTAAATTATAGGAAGGCTTCAAATTGTTTTATAATTAACTGAAATCTGGGAAATCTGAAGCAGCAAAATATTAGAATTTTAGTGGAACCTGTTGTAGTACTCAATAGATTAAAGGCAGTTCAGGATGCTAGGAGTGGATGGGTTCCTATAAGTCATCTCCTAGCATCTGTCAATAGGATACTGACATTTAAGAGATCAATCCTGGACCAAGGCTGTAAGACAGAAGTATACTCAGTGCTAATTACTGATATGTGCTCAATAAATATGTTTTGTGTCAGGTATAGTGAATGGCTGGAAATGTTTCTATGTATATCTTAGGTAAGTTATTACCAAAGAAAATCACCATGAATGTCTACATTAGAAAACAGAATTTTAGTGCTCACTTCAGCACATATACTAAAATTAGAAAACAGAATTTTATATTCCATAAAAAACTGTACTTTGAGGACAAGAGACTAGAATACATAACTCTTTTAAAAATTTGGCAATTCAAGGAAAGATGAAATAGAATAGGTTCTACTTAGCTTTGTTTCCAGAAATACTTTGTATAATTGGAAGATATCTTTGATTAAGCTTTATGGAAACTTTTCAAGTTTGAAGAAGATTTCAGCTGTAGTGTCTAAAGAGTCACTTAAAAAAAAAAAAACCCTATATTAAAATGAAATGTGTCCAAGCTTTAAAGAAAAGATATCGGAGTTTGCAGATGATCCTAAAATTGGAGCTAGGGGAAATAATGAGGAACAATGCAATCAGATTCAAAAAGATTTGGATTGTTTAGGTGATTGGGCCAGCAGATGGCAAATGCAGTTCAGTGTAGACAAATGTAAAATAATTATGTTAGGAACAAAGAACCAATCATACAGCACACTGATCAGGAAAAAATTTGTGAGTTATTGTGGGAAAACCATTGAAACAGTTAACCCGGTGCACAGCTGCAGCAAAAAAGGCAAGCAAGAAACCAAATTAGCAGACGGATAGAATATAAAGCAAGAGGCAATACTTAGAGTGTATTAAGAAACTTGCTAGACCCCATCCAAATTAGTCTAGTATTGGTTGATAGAACAGCTTTAGGAAGAGTAAATTTATGCCTTGGACTAGCAATCGTACCAGACAAATCTAATAATGAGAGAGATGTGCACTACTTAAAAACTTTTGTTTGAAAATTTTTGTAGATAAAGAGCAAGACACTAAAAGTAAAGGTAGTTTCGGTCTGGCCACTATCAAAAGTAAGTTTTAGAAGAGGACATCTGTGGTTTCCACTGCCTCAAGCCTTAGCCAGATCCTTTTCTTTTTAGATAGGAGTTTACCTCTCACCTCTCAAGGGTAAAGAAGCCTAAAGGCTGCATAAAGTCCTTGTGAAGCTTGAACCCTGAATTTTGGTGGCCAGATAGCATGGATGTGAGACCTAAGAGTTGCTGATGTGATGCTTCTTCCTGACTTGCATGACTCTGGCAGGTAGATAAGCCTGCAATTTCATTCTGGGCTATAGAGGAAAGAATTTTTCTCTGATTTGCCACCCTTCAGTCTTATCCTACCTTGATTTTCCAGCTTTGCCTGAGTGTTTTTGCCTGTCCTGTACCTAGGCAATAAGTTCCTTTTGATTTCTGTTAGCCAGAACATGTATCTTTTTTTTTTATAATCAGGCTTTAACTGGTATAGTGGCAGAGTTTTATTGCTGTTGTTATCCCATGATGTGTTTGCATTGTTTTGAGTGGTGTCCTGCAAGTAATTTTTTTTTTTTTTTTGCGGAACCCGGGATTGAACTCAGGCCCTTGCGCTTGCCAGGGAAACACTTATTCTACAGAGCCATCTCCCTGGCCCTCTAATTTTTTTTG